ATCTTCAGCTGTGGATTGGATTTGGATTGTGCGGTACTGTACTCACCAGATGCAGTATCGACTCGTTCCTGGGATGGTGAGGTGCTGTCTTGTTCATCAAAATCTGTGGCTTTCTTGTTTTTTGGTGATTTTTCTGAATCCGAGTCAACAACTGAAACTCCGGAATCTCCAGAACCGTCACCATTTGTGCAGCTGCTATCGTTGCCAGCGGCGCCAGTGCCGTTCGTTAATGAATTACGAAGTTTTGCATCCATGTCTTTTTTACTAGGAAGAGTGCAAGCACTGGCGTCATTCCCAGCTTTCGTGTCAGGGCTTGCTGCTGCTGCTAATGCCGGCGCTGTCGTTATCGATGCGGCAACTTTCTTACGGCTCACTTTGCCCGTCTTACTAGCTGCTTTCCCGTCAGTAGTGCCTGCGGCAGCTTTGTCTGTTGCTAATTTCTTGACCACCTTTTTTATTGTTTTCGGTTTTGGCGGCGCCGAAGCCGATGACGCGTTATCGTCGTAGAGTGCAGTGAGCCAGAGCACCGCACATTCCAGATAGGTTTTCACTGGTTTCGTCTCGGGTTTTAAAACGTGAAAGTGCGCCACCCCAGACTGCAGCTCCATGACCAGAAAATTCCACGAGGGACCAAGTTTTTTATTAAAAACTTGCTGCAATGGCGTACGCCAATCATCACCTCCTTCGAGCACCAAATGCAAACATTCACCGGCCAATCCATCTGTTACGATTTCGCCTTCCTGAAATGCAGTTTTTCATACTTTTTTTTGGTTGCATGAGGCACATGTATTTGACATATTTTTGCGCTTTTTTTGTCGCATCTATACAAATGTAAAAACATATGTCGATGAGATACTGATTGTGTGCAGGTTCGTGTGTCCATCCTCGAATTCCTCAAACAGGTAAGCCAAAAGGGTGAACTTTTGTAAGCATAGTTCCGGCAGTGCATGGATCTAAAAACATAAAAATCATCTGACTGAGAGGGCATAGTTGTTTGTCGCGCTTACATCTTAGCAGCTGTTTGTTATTTTTCTGGTAATTTTAAGTATTCATTCTTAGTATTATTATTTTGCTTGTGTAATGCAAAAAATTGCCTCATTGGAACTGATGCCGAGCAGAGATGCTGGATGTTTTTTAGAGGAACCTACATTGTAATATTTCGAAAGCAATATTTTTTATGGGAATTGAACGAAGAGTCAGGTGGATCGTCGAAGGACTATTGCTGCA